GATTTTAAAGCATCAGTATTTTCTTAAAAAAAGTCTTTATTTTTATTGCATGTAGATGGGTGTTTTGCCGGCATATATGTCTATGCACCATGTGGATACTCATAGAGACCAGAAGAGGGCATCAGATCTCTTGGAACTGGAGTGATAGATGGTTGAGAGCTGCCATGTGGATTCTGGAAATCAAATCCAGCTTCTCTAGAAGAGCAACCAATGCTCTTAACTGCTGAGCTGTCTCTCCATTCCCTGATTATTATATTTGAGGATTTCATATATGAGTATAGTATATGTGCGTTCTAATTCCTCCCGTGCTCCTCCAACTACCCTTTCTCAAATTCATGGCCTCCTCTGTGTTTATTACACACACATCCTACCAAGTCCGATTATCGTTGTCCTTATTTATATGTGTTTAGAATTGAGACCCTGTCTCTCAGTAGTTATGATGCAGTAGTGTTGATTGTGGGTTGAGGAAATCATCAAGTGTCTCATTGGACGTGAAGGCCATGGCCATTCAGTAACAGGGAAGTCAGGCCTGGTACTATAAACCCAACCAAGAACCCAAGGCTGGAGAGATCATGGGCGCTGGAGGACAGCCCAGTGTCAGCGCGCGGCTACAACCACAAAGAGTCATCCTTCTGCCTATGGGTATGTGTAGCTCTGACATCTCATCAAAGATATTTCTTTCTTCACAGAAAACTCCCCAACTGATTAAAATATAGAGAATAAATGATTGTGGGGTGCCCAGTACCAAAGGTGACATGAACAACACAACCTTTACAGAAGGCTCAGGGAACTCTGAGGAAATGGGTGTGGGAAGATGATAAGAACTCAAGGACCAGGACAACTGCGGTGAGAAAGTTTCTTCTGGACAGGACACGCTGCCCCATGATCTCTCAGCAATATGGCTGCCTACATGAGCATACCAGTCAACATGCTACAGGGGTGGAGGAAAGTCTCACAAGGCCCCACCCCTAGATGAAATGCCACTTCTATGTAAATCTCCTACCAGTCATTCCCTTTAAAAAGAGTAGTCGGGCAGCCCTGTGCTGTGCTGTGTTGGGAGCCTTGCGGCTGCTGCTCAGAGCACAGTAGATCTGGACTCCGTGCCCTTTCATCCCCCTTCAAGCCGCATTGCTGTATTCCAAAGCGAAGTGTGTGCTGGTGATGAAATAGAGCCTGGCAGCTTGTTTTGTGACTGTTCTGTTGTGCTGTGAAGTTCATTTACTCTAGACAATCCATATATGTGTTCAAGGTGCTCAGACCCTTATAACTACTGTTGAGCGGATTAGATGTCTCTGTGCAGATCGTGAAATATGCAGTTGTGGGTGGGTGATGGTTGCATGGCTCATTTGTGTGGTGCTGAGGACTCAACCTAGGGTTTCAGTTCTAGGCAAGGCTCTACCCAAAGCCTTCTTTCCCCCTTTATGTTATGAAATGGGGTTATAGTGAGTTACCCAGGCAGGCCTTGAACTTAAGAGTCTCTCAAGTAGCTAGAGTTACACAGGCTTGCACCAACAGGCCTGGTTGAACTGACATTTTTATTTACTTACTAAGAATATCTGACTTTTCGGATGGTAAGGGTTATCTATCATAGTTATCCTAATAGTTGGATGGCATCTCCTGAGAATACAGAGAGAATTGAATAGACATGGACCAAGTGAGTCGCCTCTCTGCTGGGAAGTGGCGGGGGGGGGGGGGGGGGGGTGAGTGTTGCCGTGTCTAGAGCTAGTAGGCAGAGTGTGCGCTCAGTGCCCACCTTCTGATTAAGTTTTGGGGCTGGGGGCTGGTGACTGTGTGACTTGGTCCTGAGGGACACACTAGCGGGTGGGGGGGGGAGGTGCTGTGGCCTCACAGTACCAGCCCCATAGACTCTCCTTTTACTTCTTATGCCCCAGAAGGCAACTGAAAAATGGTGTGTCACTTTGATGACTTTGGGCTTGTCAGTCAACTTCCTAGTTGAAAGAGGCTCCCGGATGATTCCTCTACCAGGGCCGGTAATAAGAAGGAGTTTGGGTTTACAGACCAGTATGTAAATTTCTGCTGTGCCTCTAACCTGCCATTTTCTTTAAGACCAATTTAAATGTGATGTGCATTTTGGCCAGGGCCCCATCTCTGGATGCTATGAAGGCTAAAAAAGTGAGCTAACCAGCTAAAGCTAACTGACTAGAGACACCTGGGAAAAGAGACCCTCAAGTGAGAAGTCACCTCCATCAGACTGGCTTGTGGGTCTGTCTGTGCATCATTTTCTTGGTCTCTAATCCATGAAGGAGGCACTATCCCACGGTGGGCAGTGCCACCCCAGGGAGATGGTCCTGAATTGTGTAAGAACTGTGGTTGAACACGAACCTTTGGAAGCCAGCCAGTAATAAGTTCTCCTCTTTGGTTCCTGTCTCTGTTCCTGCTTGAGTTCCTGCCCCAACTTCCCTCAGTGGCAGACTGTGATTTGGGAAATTTAAGGCAAACTTAAACCCTTTCCTTCCTAAGTTGTGTTTGGTCACATTTATTACAGCAACAGAAAACAAACTAGGATAATGAGCTAATCCCATTTGAGAGCTTCGTGCCCTGCCTGCATGCCAGACACACTCGACTGAATGTTGGCTATTGTTCTTGTAATTATGAAGTCTTGTTACCCACTTTGAGAACAAAACACAAATCTTCAAGCCCAACAAATACATGGCGTGGGCTTTCCATCCTAGATCGTAAGCAAGCCTACATATTAACCAATAGCAGCCAACAAGCCACAACGAGCCCTAAAAGCAGCTGCTACTGACCTGATTTTGCAGAATAAGGAATGGAAGCACAGACAGGTTAGAAAGCAGCCAGACAGAACTCAGTCCTAGAAGCCCTGGAGCTGAGGTCTGTGTCCTTTGCTGCCTTGCACAGGTGACTTACTGTCCTTGTGACAGTTGCGCTGTTCTCTCCACCTGGGTGACAGTGTGGACATTAAATGTCTGTGAGAAGTCAACTACAGAAGGAAAAAGAGTCCAAATTCTACCCCAAAGTCTGTCACATACATCACTACATCACATAGTGTTGTAGACTTCGGCACCCATTGAGGAGGCCACCCTGAGATTCTCCATCTCCGAAAGCCACTGGGACAGAAATTCCAAAGCTTGGCAGCATTGGCAGCTACTGAGGGAAATGCCTTAACAGCCCATGTGGTGAGGCTGCCAGTGGTCTAGTCTCCAGGTTTCCTGACATCATAAGTGGTGAATGGAGGTGTGAGGGAAGAGACAGGAGCAACATAGATAGTCCTCATGGGTGGTTGCATGCTAGTCTTTACTGCAAGCCTTAGTTTCCAAGGCTTCTTAGAGAGCCGTTGAAGTTGGATGCTCTGCACCCCAAGGTTTGATCCATAGAAACCACAGCATCCTCCTAATGTCTGTACAGTCATCTCCCAACACCAGCATGTTTCTAGAAGGCTCAGCTGTGGAGGACTCCAGCGCAGGCTTAGCTGTTCTCCGTGCCTCCCAGAGGCTGCACTCAGCCTAAGAACCAGAAGCAAGCCTTGTCTCTGGGGCTCAAACCAGCCACTCTCTTATTGGAGCCTGTTTCTCTGTTAAGCTCCAGGCATCACAACATGTCCCTTGGGAAGTAGACTCTACCAGGGATGGGAATCTGGGCTTGTTGCTATTGTGGTAGACAAAGGAATGTACCCTGCTTGTTCACAGTTGCTACCCATACCCCACGGCGCAGCCACCCTGAGATATCCAGCAGCTGAGCCTTCCAATGTTGTGGGTTCAGGACCCTTGAGAAATTCCCAGCAACATCCTAAAGGAAGTGATGAGCAGTTTTCAGGCCTGGGTGGGAGGAAAGAATTGTGACTTTCTGTGTGATAGCGGGAAGCTCATTGCTGGGGTAGACAGTTCTGCACTTCCTGCTTGGAATGCCAATCTGTTTAGCCAAATGTCTGAGTGGGGATGATGTGGGGAGCATCCCTCCCCCTGGCTGGGAGAGCAGTTATGAAAGATTCACTGCCTAATAGGCTTTCAGCCTGGGAGCTGGGAGATGGCACAATGGCTTTTGTTTTGCAGAGACTCCCCCGGGCCCCCTCTGTACCCAGTGATGAGCACGCGCTCCTACCCATGCAGACTGCTGATGAGCCAGGGGCTTGCTGCTCAGCTTAGTCTAGAAAATGCTGCTGGATGTGACCTTGTACCTTTGGGAATTCTTTCTGGACTTACGCGTTTGGAGCAACTTTCCCCCTCTCATTATTCAGACCCACAACCCCAGTGAAGAGATTCAGTTTCTCCTGATTGTCCAAACACGCCGCCCCACGTTTGCTCACGCTGCTCTTCCTGCCTGGCTTGTCTTTTCTATCTTTGCTTTGCAAAATTCCTGCCCATCCTTCAAGATTCAATTCAAATATTAATGCTTCGCTAATCCTTGCCCTAGAAATTGATCTCTATTTTCCTCTCAAGCTCCGTTATCATTTTCTATGCCCATCACGGCCCTTATCTAATTCTGCCTCGCACAATAAATATTTATGTGTAGGCTTTTTCCACTCCCACTTACATCATAACTTTGTGTTGTACAAATGTCTTGCCCATCCTGAAGTTTTCCAAAAAATTTAAAAAATTATTCATGTATGAAGTCCATATTTATTGAACGGGAGCAAGCAATGTCAGCAAGGATTTGGGGTGTATGCAACAGGAAATAATTAAAATTAAGCATGGAAGAAATCACACAAGCCAACATCAGACAATAATCAAAGAGGGATAGTCGTGGTATCTCTTGATCCTTGATTATATATAATTGTAAAGGTGCTGAAATGCCCAGTACAAGACTGAGTTGCTCTCTGGATGCTTGAGAGGCCTGGGTGACAGATGCAGAGTTCCACCCGGCTTGGGTTTTCTTTTGGTCCCCAGCAGCCTCGGGAAATAGCATGCAGCACAAACATGCACAGCTGGTTTATTTCCCACTTGTTTATTTGTGTGGGGATAGAAATTAAATTTCCCTGGAGGTACTAACCCTGCTCTCCTCCCCTTTCTTTTAAATCTCAGCCCTAGACCCATCGAAGGACCCTTGCCTGAAGGTGAAATGCAGCCCTCACAAAGTGTGTGTGACCCAGGACTACCAGACAGCCCTATGTGTCAGCCACAAGCACCTGCTGCCCAGGTAAGGTGGGGGAGGAGGTGACTAGAAGTTAGAGTGCTGTATGGCTAGTGGGCTCTGACTGGGAGCAGGCTGGACAAAGGGAGAGCAGAATGAAGTGTTTGCCACCATTTAAATGGTATCAGGGGCCTATACTCAGGAGATGGTATGGGTTTCATGTTGCAAGCACAAGTTTACAAAAATCTTGCCATCTTTTAAAAACTATTATTATTGTTGTTACTGTCATTATTTTAGTGTATGTGGGGGTATTTGTCTGCATGTATGTCTGTGTACCATGTGTGTGCCTGGTGCCCACAGAGGTCAGAAGAAGGTGTTGTATCTCTTGGAACTGGAGTTACAGATGTAGGTGCTGGGAATTGATCCCAGGTCCTCTAGAAGAGCAGCCAGTGCTCTTAACTGATGAGCCATCTCCCCAGCTCTAAGAACAGCAATCTTTAGGTTTTTTGTTTTTTGTTTTTTGTTTTTTAATCTTAATTTTGACTCTGAGCCCTCACCTGAACAGAAAAGCCCCTTTCATCATCATGGGAGTCCTCTTCCCTAAGTGACCCTGGTGCCCAGGAAGGTTACAATCAAGAAAGCAAAAGGCAGCCTTTCATGCTTAGGATTGCCACTGCGTGTGATCAAGCAGCCTTCCAGAAACCGGAACCCCTTACAACACTGGCTTTATTAGCTCCAGGGCAACACCCTGGGCCCATGCAGAAAGAGAGCTTTCCCTCTCCAGTTCTTGGCGTTGGCCCCTTTGGCCCCTCCTGGGACATGTGATCGTCTTTTGCCCTCTAAGTGGCTTCTCCTGAATTTTGCTGGGGTAGTGCCCCTCCCCTGAAATCAGCGCTGGCAGTGAAACAGAGCTCCTCACTGGAGTGACGCTCTGCCTCTGTCTTCCCTGATGCCTGGTACACAGACTTGGCCACCCAGACGGAGCCTTTGCCGGGGGTTGTTTCCAGAGTTGTTGCAAGTACAAACTGCTGAGGTGTGCCAGGCTCTTCTCTAGGCTGGTGCTTCTTCCTGGGAGTCAGATGGGCCCTGCCCTGGCCCCCAGGACTGGTGCTCCACACTCCAGTTTCCTCCAGACCCAATGGTGACTTTAGTTTCTACACCCCGATAAGCCTTTCTGCCGATGCAGTAATCCAAATCAGACCAAATCCAACTGAATTAGAAAAGGCCCTCGTTGAATGGATACAGTGCTCCTGGGTGGCCTTCAAGTCCCCCAGGGATGAGACAGGAAAGGAGGACTGAAAAAACCATGAGTCTATTTTCTGGGAAGCAGTTTAAATACCCCGTGGGAGTGGTCTTGAGCATCTGGGAGGGGGGTCGCCATTTGGTAGACTTTCTGAGATGCGTAGGATTTGGAGAGAGGTAGGGTAGGGGAGCTTGGGTGGAACTTCCCCCATAATGTCACAGACTCTTTGGGTATATGGCGGCCAGGGGCTGGGGTGAAGCTTCCACCAGAACAGTATGGTTGACACACCCTGGTGGTCATTCCATTGAAGAAAACCGATTTCCCTCACCCGAAGCTATCAATGACAAATGGCTCCTTGGGTGGGGGCGTGGCTTGTGCCCACCTCCTCCTCCTCTCTGTGCTGGGATTTTGACTCAAGTCATTGCTGAGTGGGATATAAAAATAAATTTGTTGTCATTTGAAGCTCCTTTCCAGGGACCTATATTCCAAGAAAACCATCCCAATCCCTCCGCCATGTGATTTCTGCCTTTTAGGATAGAAGGAAATGAGTCCTTGTTAGTGGCAAGGAACAGAATGTCCCTAATCAAGGATAATGTCTAAGGTGGCTCAACCATGTGGTCTCCTGTATATATGTGTGCACATATAATGGGAGAATTACCAATACGGAGCCAGGTAAAAATATACGGGTATTTATTAGGGAGAAGCCTTACTTACAGAGTGACCTAGCCATCAGGCAGGGCAGGAGTAAGTATAGCAAGCCGAGGATGAAAAGGAAGAACGGAAGTTCCACGTGTGTGTGCCCCTCACTCTTAAACCTTCCCCTTGAAGCCGTGGTCAGGCACACCTGTAGCCAGCAACTAGCAGGCGTGTTATGGTTCCCCTAAAATTCACCTTTTAGTCTAAAAGAGGATTAAAACTTAACAGTGTAAAGTATCCAAAATGAACAATCATAAAGGTGAAATATAAGAAGATACAACAATCTGCTTAGGTCACATCCTAACAATATCTATTTTAACTAAACCCTAAAGTCATCTGAAAGAGGTGTTCAAGCCTGAACACCTCCTTCCAATCCCAACCATAAACAATAAGGAACTATCTCTAACTAGCTATATACACTATCCTAAGTGACAACAATGGGGGGAAAGGGGCCATAGCATCCTCCAAGTTACTTCCTGCTGAAATGGGAGGGTGATATGCATATATGTTTTTGGAGAATCCTTCACATGATTTCCCCTAGAATCTGAAGAAATACCAAATATGAGATTTCTAGTCTTACACATTCAAATGTCTTTGAGGCCAAGGCCAAGGTGACTCCTTGGTATTATTACATATCCAGGTATACATGGTTTTGTCCTAGGCACACCATGCTTCTGAGCCTAATTTTCCCAGGAAAATAGAGACCCCAGCTCCTACATCCATAAAATTATAATAGCTCTGGGCATGGATTTAGGAGTGAGATGAAAGTGGGTTCAGTTCCTTGTTGGATCCCCTGTGCCTATGTAAACTTGAGAAGTAAATTTGTGAGGTTAAGTTTGTATTTCTCCTCTGATAATTGGATTTAATGTGAAGACACCGCGTATTTTGTGTGTAAGTTCAGTGTAGGTGACGGTGTATAATGATGTTTCAATGTCCAACAATCCCAGCTCTTCTAACAATTAGTAAAACAATTGTCATAATAGTTATCATTGTCTGAGTGATTCTGGAGGCTCAGCCTGAACCTCCTAACAACTCCATGTGCTCCTGAGAAATGAGCAGCTTCCCCTTGGGCCTTCTGTCCCTGTCTCAGTGTGCGTGTGCTGCCTTCGAGCATCAGAGCCAGATCTCAAGGACTGTGGTGACATTTCTGCTCCCACTTTGTGCTTTGCAACAGAGGAGACAAGGAAACTCACTGCATTTCTGACAAAAGGGCCAATTATTCATTGCTGGAAAAATAGCTGAAGACTGCTCTTTAACTGAGATGGTACCCCTCTCAGCAGAAAGGGAGATGACCTGGCTCAAGGAGGCCTGTTGTGGCGTGGTCACTGTGGTTGTATTCCCAAATATCCTTCTCAGAAGTGGGGTTTCTCAGCCCTCAATAGCAGCCCCCTGTGTAACTCCTCCGAGGGTCTTGGATGCCTTCCCAGATGAAACACCTGTGTTTGCACATTTAACTTCTGGGGTCCCCTAGCGTAGGGACCTCAGACTGACAACTCTATTCATTCATCTGTCAGAGAAGTGCTTTTTCATTCTGCAAACATCTGCAGAGAATGCTGCTAGCCAAGCTGGCCTCTTGCAGCTCAAAGGGAGAATCTTGCCTCTAGATGTTGGGAAGTTGCTGGCAGACCAGGAGGCAGCTGGGAGGCCTCAGCTGATGAGGAGGCCCCAGATGTAGTTGACTTGCAAGTGGATTAGGGGGCAAGGCCAGCAGTGCCCCAGAAAGGGAATGGTGTGGGTCTGAAAGACCCTTGGAGCTCAAGTGGGTGGAGCAGGTCCTGGGAGCACAGGTCTGTGGCCACAGTGTTTTATGGCTGACCAAAGAGTTCTGAGGAGTGCTGGAAAGGGAGGCAGACAATCAGGCTTTCCTACCCTGGAGTCTCTCCCAACCCTTTGAGGAAGAGATGTATAGGGATTTCATCTCGAGGCTCCTGCTACAGTCACATCCTTCTTAGAGAATTCTTGTGGAAATTCTTTGACTTCTTCCTGCTGTTCAGCAGTGCTGGCGGCATGGGAGGAGGTAGATACAGGGCCATATGCTCCTGCTTCACAGTCTGCATGGGATCAACAGTGTACCACGGAGTAATGGATGAGGTCAGAATGGCTTCTCTTGGATGACTTAAAAATTCTCAGTCTGAGTTTGGTATGATAGGTGACTTGTTATAGAAAACATTTTGCAATTATAAAAATAAGTAGGAAGTAGGTGATGGTTGCATTATTCATTAATTCATTAATACAGCAATTAAAGTATTTAGTAAGTTCTGTCTAGTCTTCCAGTTTTTCTTTTCTTGTTTTTGTTAAGATTTATTTATTTTATGCATACTGGCATTTTGCCTGCATGTATGTGTGTGTACCACATGTGTGCCTGATGTCCTCAGAGATCAGAAGAGGGCATTGGGCCCCATGGAACTGGAGTTACAGGCAGTTGTGAGCTGCCATGAGGGTGTTGGGAACAAAGCTGTGGGGGAGAAACCAGTGCTCTTAGCTGCTGAACTACCTATTCAGCCTGTTTTGCTTATTGACTTGTTCATGCCAAGACTTACTTAGCATATGGTCTATGTACTATATAAAATCTTGTGTTGATACTTATACATGAATACTTCATGGTACTATAAACCATGCTTAAAAATTTAGTGATTACATAACATGCTATATAAAAATTTCACTTGAGAGATGGGTCACATTTGTAAACATACACACACTAAGTTTATAAAACTTTCAGAAGAAAATAATGTGAGACTTCTCTCCTTGGGTTTGATTAAGATTTCCTAATTGTGGGGCTGGAGAGATGGCTCAGCTGTTAAAGGCTAGGCTCACAACCAAAAATAAAAAACTTTGTAATTATGATATATGTGACATAGAAAATGAGATTTTACCCAAATTGGAGATGTCTGATGTTCTATAGACACTCCTACAATTTTTTAATGGTCCAGTCATACTAAGAGGAAGTATTTCAGACTCTATATATATATATATATATATATATATATATAGTACTCTCGTGTGTTTACATCAGCTTCATTTATAAACACACATACACACACACATAAGAACTCAAGGTGAACTGATCAGCCAATTGCAACCCAAACATTATAATTGATGCTACACAGCCACAAACACATGTAAGCTA